CTCTTTTGAAGAAGGTCTTTTAAAACCAGGGTCAAAGACAAGTGGGAATGTTTGTTTCCCCTCTGGGTGACTCTTACGTATATAATAACATTAATTATAATTTTTCTGTAAAGCATACATACATATAAATATATACATACATACATTCATACATACTGTAGATACAGTATATACACACAGACATTTGTACACACAGACATATATACACACAGACATATATACACACTCAGTGACCAGTCAGAACCCCCTGGATCTGAACACTGTCAGTCACAATTAGGACAAACTCATCCCACATGGCCAAAACACTCAAGAACTCCACCAATGATGGCTAAGACAAACACTGCCTACACAACCAAGAAACTCTCCCCATGTTCTGCAGAGACTCATACTTGTAAAAAAAAAAAGGCCTCAGGCCCCTTTTAGCAGAGAGGTGACAGTTCTAACCACTACTCTGCACTCTGCATTGCCACTCTAAGAGGAAAATAACTGTGTGAATGCTTACTCATTCACACTATAAACAGAAAATGACTCAAATACCATGTTCATACAGTTTCCAATACTTTGTCGGAAAAAGACCTGATGTAAACCAGGTCTTTTTTTACTGGACTTTGAGCCTGGTTTGTGTTAAACTTATTATACCCAATCCAATTAATAGTAGTGCCTGATGAGCAAGGAACACCGCATGTTCACAACTTGACGGTCAAACAACACAAAACATTTGTTCACTTAGAGGGATCCTCTCTGGTTTTTGAAGACATTTTCAAACTGATATCCTTCTACTGTGTCAGCAGGGACATCCTCCCCATCTCGTTGAGGTTACCCCAGGCCGTCAACAAGGCAACGAAGAAAGAAGAGCTGGAGGTCATCTCAGCCTTGGGTGCAGATTTCTGGGCGTCTGATGTGAACCAGAAGGACCGGGATGTCCCGGTTCAGCCCGACACATACCTGTACATAAACCCAGTCGCCGTGGAGGAGCAGCCCAACAAAAACCCAAACCTCGCCTCCTCCACCTCCAGGGCTAACCCCATCAACAGCAAAATCATTGCCTCCTCTCTGCAGAACGGAGAACCCTCCAAGAAACCGAGCATGCAGGGCAAAGGGCCGACTCAGACCAGCCTGGAGGGTCCATAGAGGCGGCCCCCTCCTCCTCGACCCCCCAGCCTGGATTCAAGTCCCGGGTTGGGCCTCCTCTTCTCCTCTCCTCAAACCTCAACTCCTGTAGCTCCGGAACCTGAGCGAAACGAGGAAAGAGGCGAGAAAGACGAGAAGAAGCCAACATCACCTCCTCCATCGAGGCCTCCTGTGCCCCTGCAGGCGCGAGCTGCTCCCCCTCTGCCCCCTGCTCCTCTGCACCGCACCTCCTCCTCCTCCAGGAAAAGCTCGGTCAAAGAGAGTACAGCGGGAGGAGACGATGGACAGAATCCTGCAAAGAGGAGTGAAAAGGGAGGAGAGAGAGAGGAAAAATAAAAAAAGGAAATGTTATTAGAATGACTGAAAGAAAGATTAGAAAATATATTAAATATACACTAAGAAAACACAAGGCCACACACCTGACATCTGCCTGCTCACCTGAAAGTAAATGGATATAAGAAAACAGCAACAAAATACATGTCTATGTGTAGTGATCATGTAACTACAACTTCTCAAAACTTAAAGTTATGAGGAAATCACGAGTTCTTTTCTGTGTAGGGAGTAAATACCTTTCTGTGTAAATGTGAGGATAACTCACAATAATATGCCGTACTCAGTAAATTAAGTTTTTCTAAAATAAATGATATTTATTTACAGAATAAAACACGTTACTTATCAACAAATTATGATGAACAATCAGAATTTTTATGGGTTAAAACATCCACAAATATCACATACGCGTCCGTACTAATTTATGTAAATATGACAACTCAGAAAGAACAGCAAACTTTAGGTTTGAGATCTTGATAAACCAGATGTTTACAGGCACGTGAACTTATATGACAAGATTTTAAGCTTGAGAAAAGTAAGAAAGGAGGAAGATCAGTTTAGTTCTAAGAATTATCCTATCAAAGTGTGAGAAACCAGAACAACACAGTGGATCACTTGCTGATACCTCAGCCCAATTTCAGAACACGTGGTCAAAACACTCAGCTTTACCTTTTGGTTGGTGTCGACCGTCAGGTTAAGCACGTAGGAAGACTTCAGCCAGGTCAGGTTTCTTACTGCCAGTAAAATCTCCCAAGTTTTGCTTCACGGTGTCTCTGGAAATCTGCTTCTGTTCATCGGAGGAGCCCTGAGTCAGTTTCAGGTTTCTCTTTCAAAGAAAGAAAACTTCTCATCAGAAGTTTTTTAAAAATAACGGAGCTTCAAAGCTGGCTATTTCCAGGACAAGCTCAGCCCAGGAAGAAGGGAAGACAGTGTCTCTTCCCTCTTGTTTCTTTTTCAGTCTGCGTGTGTCTGTCGAGGCTGCATCAGGGTTAGTTTCTTAAGAGGAGAAGCTAGGGACGTGACCTCGACTTTTTAAGTTAGTTACAGGCAGAATGAAAAGTTTAGTAGCTGAATAACAACTATGCATCTGGTTCAGAAAAACAAGTTCAACTTTGAACGATTTAACACTGAATGAAAATGGACTACAGTTCACTGGAACATAAGAGAATTATTTAAACTGAAATWAACCTTAAAATATTTGTCTATGATTCAAATACAAATATTTGTATGTATGTATATTTCATAATAAAAYACAGTGAAGTCATAATCACAATGATCAATTTAGTTAAATTGAAAAATAAATCAGAAAAACACTAATCACTTTTACTGTAAAMACAATWGTTGATTAAACAAAGATTTGTGTAAGACAAAGAAACATTGAAACAATTTTCTTTTTGTGTTTTTTTCTTTTTCTTATTTATAATGTAGAAGATTAATTGTCATTCTTTTCATTATGTAATTTTGATTTTGTCATGGTTTGTCTGTTTCCACCTTAGTTTCCCTAGTGTTTTTCTATGTTCCCCAGTGTTTCCTTGCCCAGCTGCCCCACATTACCTTGATTGTCACCCTTGTGTTTCTCCTCAGGTGTTTTGTGTTCAGTCATTAGTTTTCTGTGTATTTAAGCCCTGTCATGTCTCAGTCTTGTGTCAGATCATTGTTTTGCATATGTTGGTTTTGCTCTGCGTGTATTCTGTTCCCCCTGCCTGTGATCTTCGTTCATCTAGTAAGTTTGCTGCAATCAGCCCTCTTTTTGTTATCTTATTAAACTTTTTTGTTAAATTTTGAAACCTGCCTGCGCCCTGGGTCTGTCTCGTCACCACACTCTCTCAGATTTATAAAATGATAATAACTTTTAGTTAAAAAGAAAGTATAAATCAAAAATACAAAGAACATTATTATTTTGTTTATTAAAGAAAATAAAATGTCTCTTTTGAAGAAGGTCTTTTAAAACCAGGGTCAAAGACAAGTGGGAATGTTTGTTTCCCCTCTGGGTGACTCTTACGTATATAATAACATTAATTATAATTTTTCTGTAAAGCATACATACATATAAATATATACATACATACATTCATACATACTGTAGATACAGTATATACACACAGACATTTGTACACACAGACATATATACACACAGACATATATACACACTCAGTGACCAGTCAGAACCCCCTGGATCTGAACACTGTCAGTCACAATTAGGACAAACTCATCCCACATGGCCAAAACACTCAAGAACTCCACCAATGATGGCTAAGACAAACACTGCCTACACAACCAAGAAACTCTCCCCATGTTCTGCAGAGACTCATACTTGTAAAAAAAAAAAGGCCTCAGGCCCCTTTTAGCAGAGAGGTGACAGTTCTAACCACTACTCTGCACTCTGCATTGCCACTCTAAGAGGAAAATAACTGTGTGAATGCTTACTCATTCACACTATAAACAGAAAATGACTCAAATACCATGTTCATACAGTTTCCAATACTTTGTCGGAAAAAGACCTGATGTAAACCAGGTCTTTTTTTACTGGACTTTGAGCCTGGTTTGTGTTAAACTTATTATACCCAATCCAATTAATAGTAGTGCCTGATGAGCAAGGAACACCGCATGTTCACAACTTGACGGTCAAACAACACAAAACATTTGTTCACTTAGAGGGATCCTCTCTGGTTTTTGAAGACATTTTCAAACTGATATCCTTCTACTGTGTCAGCAGGGACATCCTCCCCATCTCGTTGAGGTTACCCCAGGCCGTCAACAAGGCAACGAAGAAAGAAGAGCTGGAGGTCATCTCAGCCTTGGGTGCAGATTTCTGGGCGTCTGATGTGAACCAGAAGGACCGGGATGTCCCGGTTCAGCCCGACACATACCTGTACATAAACCCAGTCGCCGTGGAGGAGCAGCCCAACAAAAACCCAAACCTCGCCTCCTCCACCTCCAGGGCTAACCCCATCAACAGCAAAATCATTGCCTCCTCTCTGCAGAACGGAGAACCCTCCAAGAAACCGAGCATGCAGGGCAAAGGGCCGACTCAGACCAGCCTGGAGGGTCCATAGAGGCGGCCCCCTCCTCCTCGACCCCCCAGCCTGGATTCAAGTCCCGGGTTGGGCCTCCTCTTCTCCTCTCCTCAAACCTCAACTCCTGTAGCTCCGGAACCTGAGCGAAACGAGGAAAGAGGCGAGAAAGACGAGAAGAAGCCAACATCACCTCCTCCATCGAGGCCTCCTGTGCCCCTGCAGGCGCGAGCTGCTCCCCCTCTGCCCCCTGCTCCTCTGCACCGCACCTCCTCCTCCTCCAGGAAAAGCTCGGTCAAAGAGAGTACAGCGGGAGGAGACGATGGACAGAATCCTGCAAAGAGGAGTGAAAAGGGAGGAGAGAGAGAGGAAAAGAGAAACCGGGAGCAGATCTGCTGGGTGAGAAGGCCGGGCAGGAGACCAGCAGGAGAGACGAGGTGGACCTGAAGGCGGTGAAGGAGGACAAACTGAAGTCCCAGGGACCACTGTTGGTCAAGAAACCGTCTCGACCCATCCCCCCGCCCAGGACGAAACCAGCAAACTCACCTGTGTGCTCCAGCCAGGTAGGAGGAGGAGCTTCAACCAATCAGAGCGCAGAGACGAAACCTCCGCCTCCATCCCCGAGACGCCCGGATGTGTCACTGTACTCGCCACAGGGGGGCGGAGCTCTGGGGCCCAACCAGGACCCCTGCTCCACCAGCAGTACCGAGGAGGAGGGAGAGACCAATCAGGAGCAAGAAACAAACAACAGGACCCCTACAGAGAGCCGCAGCTCTAAACCAATCGTCAAGCGGACCCCCACAGTCATGCTGGACCGAGCCCGGCATCGCCTGTCCACCGTCCTCACCGGACTCATCTACCACGACGGCCGGCTCACCAAACGCATCGCAGAGCTGGCCCGGGACCCCATGAGCTACTTTGGTAACCTGGTGAAACACCACCGGGCCTTCACCCTGGAGACCATGTCCAACCACTTGACCTCCACAGAGCTGCTGCAGGAAATCCGGCAGATGATGACGCAGCTGAAGAGCTACCTGCTGCAGAGCACGGAGCTGCAGGTCATAATGGAGCCGAAGCATCAGTACACGCAGGACAAGCTGGAGAGCATCATCGTAGGGGCTCTGTGTAAAAGCGTTCTGAAGCCGCTGAAGGAGCCGATCTACAAGAGTCTAGAAAAACTGCACGTCTGCACTGGCAGTATGGAGATGCTGGCCCAGAACCAGTCTGTCGTTCTCGGCAGCACCACCACAGCTCTGGGAATCACCACCGCCGTCCCCGAGGCCCCCGCCATAGAGAAGATCAGCATCAAGCTGAACAAACTGCACCAGGAGTACTCCCCACAGAAGAAAATCGAGCTCCTGCTGAAGACCTGCAAGATCATTTACAACTCCATGTCCATCAGCTCTCCCAGGCGGGTCCACGGCGTTGATGACTTCCTTCCTGTAATGATGGACGTTCTGGCAAGATCCAATCTGTACGCCCTTCAGCTGGATGTCATGGAATTACATGATGGAGCTGATGGACCCAGCGTTAACTCTAGGAGAAGGCTCGTATTATCTGACCACCACTTACGGAACTCTGGAGCATATCAAGACCTTCAACCAGCAGAGGTCAGCGATGCGGCAGCTGAGCAGAGAGATTCAGGACTCCATCCACCGCTGGGAGCGGCGGTGCACGCTCAACCAGGAGCGCGAGGCCCAGGGATCTGTTTGGGACTTCCTGACAGTGTATTGTCCTGAGATCGGGGAAAACCCCAAAACTCTGGGTGTGTTCTCCTCAATGACCATTCAGCAGCTCTCTGAACAGTGTGTGGCGCGATTTGAACAAGACTCCTACATGCTCAGCGTCTACATGGACAACATCTACCAGCCCATCAAACCGACAGATTTGGCTCTCGGCGTGAAGAACAGCTGCCAACCGGGAGTCTACTGCTTCGTTTACCATCCCATTGGCCAATCGATCGTCCAGCCGGTCCGTACCTGCCCTGCCGCCCCCTCCGCCTCCTCCACCGCCTCCTCCACCGCCTCCACCTGCAGAAACCCTCCTCCCAGCCAAGGGCGTAACTTTAGGTCTAACAT